TATCTAAATTCTGTGCATTCATATTTTGCATAGCATATGTCCTACTTAATAGATTTTTAGTTATTTTTCAGTATGCGTAAAAAACTTACGCTTTTACGCTTTGATTCTACGCTTTACGATTTTACCCCTTTTCCACTTCTAGGTAAAATCGCGCTTTTGACTGCATTTGTTGCGATCAAATATGTTGACAAAAGAGTGTTCCGGCCTCTTGACTCTAACTTTTTCTTCATTACTAGCTCAAGAAATTGGATAAGCAAAGATAGACTAAAAAAACAACAAGTTTAAAACAAATCAAATGGCCTTCATTGTGTTCTGCTTCTGCACCTTATTATATATCAGTTTCAAACGAGCATTTAAAAATGCCAAAAAGTAATAATAATCAGTGATAAGAGAAAAATTATAACAATACAATATAATCTGTATCTATAATTGAAATCAACACTAGAAGACAAACAATGTATAAAAAGAAAATAAAAGGGGAATCCAGTGAAGAATATGAACTATTATTACCCATATGATTCATAACATTTGACTAGTTGAGAGAATACTAAGAACAAAGTTGAAAAAACTATAAAAAATATGAAGAGACGAATCTAATAACAATCAATGGATTAGTCAATTCATAATATTGACCATCCTTAATAACAAACAATAGTTTTAAATTTTAAGGAACATCATGCACCTAACTTGCTTAATTGTCAATTGCCCAGTTGCTTGTTTGGCTTAGGAATCGAGATCCTTTATGCCTTAACCAATCGAGGTCCATCCCAAAACCCTAAACAGAGTAATACCAAGAAGAAATCCATGATGTCTAATAAAAGTAGAGTCGACAATAATATAGCAGAGAACTACTAATATCATTCATACCTCTCCGTCAAACACAAAATCCATGAGCAATCGGTACTCTTAATACCAGTCACACAAACAGCAAACCAGATAACAAGATAGCAACTATAGAGCAATGGATCTTTCAGTATGTTGCATTATAACTTTACGATGGGTTTAAGTTTGGTTAGGTTTAGTCTTATTATTAGTGGGCTTAGTAATTAGTAGGGTCTTGGTGTATTGGACAGCCGAGTTACGTAGGGAAGGGTGAGAGTATGAAGGGTTTCGTGGAGTGACGGCCAAGTATGTGATCGAGTAGCATTAGGTTTATTTATTAGGTTTAAGGTCTTGTCCTATAAATATGTACGTTGTCTTCCGTTTACAGAAAGTCAATGAAGAAGAAAATCCCTAATTTAGTTGTTTTAGTTTATTTATCGTTTTTGTGCTGCGATGCTTGATTCGTCAATGCATCACAATATGCTTAATTGTCAATTGCCCAGTTGCGAGTTTGATGGTTGAGAATTTGGTGTGCCAAGACCTTCTGCTCTTTCTCTTAAAATCTGCATATAGTAATGGATATGGTGGTTGTAACATGGTCGGAGCGAGCCCCCTTTGCCCTTGTCCCAGGATAATTTTTGGGAAGGTTTGAAGAGGCTCATATACCGAACGTCTTGAAATAATACCCGGGGCGAGAGATTCAGTTAAGCGAAAGAAATTTTTTTGATTCAACCAGCTTTTAGACTTGCTAACATAACTTGTAAAATTAAGAATGTTTTGCCACTACATCACAACCAACTAGCGTGAGCCCCGGCCAATTGGCCGAAGGAAGGTGATGTATGAAATTTGATAATGTAATGGGGTGTATAGATTATTGTTGTATAGTTTTTTTTTGGGAAACGCGTGATAAAAATAGTGAATTTTAGCAAGAAAGAGACATGAATGATGTAACAAATCAAAAATCGGCCTTATGAACCAAAATCAAGTACCTGTTACCTTGTGAAATAATATTGTTTCTGGTAATATGATGAGGTGGGGTACCTTTTATAGAAACCGAATTCTAGAAATTCGAATAAAAAATCGCCTATCCCGTCGGTTTTCAGGAAATGTGCATCTCACAATCGTTGCTAGCTTTTACTCGGCCCGTTGGCCGATTAATTTGCTTTATAAAACTTTCATCTTGTCGTCATTATCCTTTCTGGTTTTTGTCAGGCCATGATAAAATATAAGGAAATCAAGAACGAACAACACGATTTGGGATAGGAACCGATGTTGTCGTATCCCTAGAAAATGGCGGTAAACACGAACTCACCTGCGGAACTGGTTTGGATTGAGATTTTTATCGGGTATCAGGGAACCATGTGGTTATAAATTAGACTTGATCAAAACGGGTGAAAACTTGAAATTCAGCCTGTTTGACCAACTCATGCCAAATTCTAATTATTCTTTACTTTTAAACTTTCTATTTGAAAATAAAAAATAGTGAAAGAAAAGAGATGACTGCAATTCGCCATTTGCACATCACTTATTCGGGAATATAACCATGGAAATTCAAAAGGAACTGAAAATGTTAGGATTGTTTTAATGTTTAAAATAACCAAATAGATCTTTCTGTTTAGTTTTTTACTAACAAATATCAAACGATTCCCTATAAAATACACTATAATTTGATCATTATGATATCAAATAATTATATAATATATATTTGAAATAATAAAAATTGGACTAATTGGGTTGGTCGAGGTTGAACCATTGAATAACTTTAAAATACATTATATTTTAGCCACTAAGATATAAAATAATAACATAATATATATTATGCTAGAGAAAATAGCTTGTTTTAGAATGTCAAACCAATGATGTTCATTTGTTTTACTTGATGACCAAATCGGGTGTAGATCAGGCTCATTCAACTCTTTTATTTTATGGTTAGCGGTTAGCCCATTAGATACCATGCATTAGTTTATTGTTAAATTTTTTATTTTTACCAATAAAAAGAAGTATTGTTTTTGTCTTTTCATATATATTTTATCAACACGGAGAAATAAAAGGGCTTAATGAAAAAAATCGACACTCCTGGACCCGTTTAAATCCGCATATGTACGGTAAGTTGGCCCGTTCCACAGAGGAAAGAGAAAAAATTAACACTCCTATTCTACCATTTCTACAAACGCTCCAGGAGCAGGGAATTTGAAATGGGGAAAGAGTTTTTTCCTCTCTGCTATTATATTTTTTTAATTTAAAAATATGCAACAAATGTACTTAGTGTGATTGATTATGATCCTTGCTTTTCTTTAAAATGGTCATGGTTTGAATCCCACTACGTGTCTTTTTAATGAATTAAAAAAAAAGTAATTGTGAAGACCAAAATGTCATTCCTACTTTCATCTCGTTGCAGGAAATTAGAAATGGGGCTCCCGTTTTTTTCTTCGGCGTATTATATTATGTGTAGATTATTTGTGTATTAATTGAGAAAAACTTAATTAATTTATGAATTCCATTCATGACATTATTATTCGACAACAGTTTGTTGATGATGAATTATCTCGAGTAAAAGTGGAGACAAAAGTGTATGTGTCATTTCCTTCAATCTATTTGTTTCTGAAGATAGTTTTGATTCTATCAATTACAACCATAAGTCTATAAGTGTAGAAAGAGCATTTTTAACGTCAGCTATATTAAGAACAAGTTTCAAAGTTGAATTGGCGATCAATTTGCTAATTATTGTTTAGTGGGACACGCTGAAAGAGACTTTCTCAAGAGGGTAGATAATGGATTTTATATTTCTTTCCAAATATGAAAACTCTTTGTGATGGTTTATGCAAACAAAATTGTATTAATCGATTATTTCTATATTGATTATTTAGGAATGAATTATTTGAATATTATTAGTTTTAATTATATTTAGTAATTGCTAATTATGTATATTTAAATTCTGAAAAGAGGATAGAGGTAATCTGTTCCTTCATTTTTTAATATTTTTTACAGGTAATTTAAACCACGTGTATGCAGGGGCGTAGTCAGAAAATTCGTTAAGGTGGGTCCATTTATAAAATATAAATATATTAATATTGAAAAAGATATTTATATTTATTTAATATTTAATTAAAATAATTATTAAATTTAAAGTGTGAGTAATTTTAAATTAGAAAAATTAATAAAAGGAAGGAAAGATAATTGAATAAAAATTAATGTTATTAAATGAGAAAAGTTGAAGTAAGAAGAGAATGAGTTTAATTTGCTATAAAAGAATACTACTTGCCTAAGATAAGATCAAATATTAATAGTACACAAATCAATACAAGAAAGAAAATCAAATCAAATAAAAAGGTTGAATAAAAACTAATGTTATTAAATAACAATAGTTGAAGTAACAGGGGAATGGGTTTAATTTAGCTATAAAAGAATAAAACTTACATGAGATATGATTTGAACTTGGCATCTCTCATTTATTGAGAGACATACTCACCATATAGACCACTTTGATTTCTTGATTACATTTGAAAGTCCTGCTTCTATACCTATTTGTTTATTTGTCGATTTTCAAACACCCAAATACGATAAATATATTGTCATCTCCCGAGCCAAGGTGGGTCCGGGGATCCACCCAATTGCACCCTGACTCCCCCCTGCGGTATGGACTAGGAAATAGTTGTACATGAGGATTTTACTTGACACCAAGGTAGTCAACTCACGGTTTGATTCAGAATCACTTGGACCCACTGAGGAAAACGAGTTTTACCCGTAAAAACTCTTTTAAGACCTTTTTAGCAAACGAATTAAAGAAGTTCAGATTTTGAAATGATTAATAAATATGCTTATATAAAGAAGACGCTATAGATATTCCAAAATAAGTTAACTAACTGAAAAAGGTTCCGTTTGTTAGAAATTTCAACCCTGTAGACACCCCATTTTGTCCGGGTCAATTACTCAACTAGAAATTCTAATTTAATCTTGAAATGTCGTAAGATAATTAGATTAGGCATTGCGAGTCAAAAATATCGACAATTGTATAATTTATTCGAATTCGATTCGAGTGGATCTAATAGGACCGATTGGCTTCCAATTTATGCTTTTGGCACAACAAAAAAAAATACAGAAGAAGAAGAAAGTTTTATTTAAATTATCAATAAATTATACAATTACAATCAGAATACAAATTACGAATAAGAATTACTACATGAAAATTACAATCAATACATGTTGCTTCCATCTCTTTTGAAGCCAACCATGGACCTGCAACAAAGGGAAACAGGGTTAGTTCAAGCCCATATCAAGCCTAGAATCCAAGTTCAAGCCCAAGCTACAAGACTAGAGCCCACAAGTGAGCTAACCAAAAGCTGAGCCAGCCCACAAGCGAGGTCAAGGCTCGGTCAAGGCCCAATTCCAAGACAAACCCACATGGTCAGAAACAACCCGACCAGCTCAGAAGCGACCAAATCCAACAGACCAGTGGGACCAGAATTTGTCTGGCCAAACCCAGACACCACCGCCTCATTTTTTCTATAAAAGGATACCCAATTCTCAAGGAATGGGACAGCTTTCAGAAGGGGGGAAATACTTGGGAATCATTTCATTCCTTTCTTTCAGTCAGTTCATAGTTCTTTTTCTTCTTATTAGTCAGTTTAGAGAGGGGAAGTACTGGGGAAAATATAAAAGAGAAATACAAAGCACTTTCTTTTCCTTCTTTATTTTCTGTCAAATAGAAGAAGGCCTTTAGGCAAACAGAAGCCCAACAAAATTTGTATTCAACGAAAGCCAGGTTCATATTAGTTCTAATGATATACCACTCCTTTACTGCTTTTTATTCTCTTCTTCTACTCTTCCCTTTTTGTCAAACTAACTCTATATATATCATTGTTATTAGTATTATCATCCATAATCATCTAGCACTTACCATTTACATACATCGCTTGTTTTTACGAAGAATAATCAATCAACTCCAATGAATCTACAACATGACTAAATTGATTTTTAATGATTGAAACTAATTAATCCTAGATTAAAAGTCTCATTTACTTTACCACTCTTCCATTCAGCTCATTCCTTTACTTACTTATTAAAAGCACATTTACTTTATTACCTATTAGAGATATTAGCATATAACTATCTACTTATACTAGGGGTGGTCGTTCGGTTACCGGTTATTGGTTAACCGCCTGATTAAATCGGTAACCAGCCGGTTATCCACTAACCGGTAATTGAACTAACCGAACTTCGGTCGGTTATCGGAGGCTGGACGAAATGGTTTTTGGTCTTAAAAGTGGTTTGGTTAACCGATAACCAAGATAACCGAGACACCGAAGCCTATTTCGGGCGATTTTCGGTAGGGGGAGTGGTTGTTTCGGTTAACCGATAACCGGCCAATCGGTTATCGATTATACCAAAATAACCGAACTGCCACCCCTAACTTGTACGTTATTGCTAATTGCTTACCATTACTCACGATACTTTCCATTCCACTTACTATGCTATTTACTTTATGTTATTTATCATTCTTTTCTGTCATATTTTCATTCCTTAAAACGTCTAGCATATAAAACTTCCCATCATCATGCATACAAAATAAAACCAAAACACCAATCCTAAAATTACATCCCAATCGAGTTGAATAGGCGTGCTCATCTTCAAAGTAACCAAAAAAGGTCCCATATACAACCTTTAAAAAACACTGAGATCCAATAATCCATTTCAGATCCACATAAACCAAAACTTTTCAAATTTGTGCTATATTAACAAAAATTCCCAGATTCAAAATCACAACCCACCCATACGAATTTCCAAAAATTCATATATGTGCATCTATTTCCAATCCACAAAATAATCACCATTTAGATTTAGGGAACCTCACCTAATCAACATCTTCTTAAAACCTGCATCAAAGCAAAAGTAGGGGTCAGAGCCTCAGAGTCGATTAAAGGGGTAATAAAACAAGAATAAAAATTTACCGAAACAAAAATCTCACATGTCGACGTCGTCCTCAATCGCCATCGATGGAGCTTTGCCACCGGGAATCTTAGCCGCCGAAACTTCCCTCCTCCCTCGATCGAACCCCAACAAAGAAACGGAAAAATCAAAACAAGAAGAAGGTTATAACCTTGAGCCACTCCAAAAAAACAAGAAAATCGAACATGCATAAAACCCTCATTCGCGGCTTACAGTCAATTTGGAGGCTGATCGGCGCTCCGATGGCGCGTTTTAGGCCGGGTTCTCACCCGATTCCGATGTGGAATGAGAGATGCGGGAGTATCCTTGTTCCGTCTCTCAGAAAGAAGAAGAAAGTTAATCGATGGAGGTTTCGGATTTTAGAAGGGGAAATGGAAAGGAAAGGGACGATATTTCGGAGGTTCCCTCTTTTGGTTCGTTTCACAGAGAATGGACAGGCTCAAGATAGAGTGCATAACCATGGGTTATGCACCTATCAATAACCAAATCTGGACCCTTCATTTAGAAAATCCAGATCTAAGGATAGAGAATTAAATGTCATTTTTATTTTCACTATCTTTCTTAATTGACTCATATCTTTTTTGTTTTAACTCGGATTTTAATTTTTTTTGCACAGATGGAACGAGTTCATCGTGCTCTACAAAATGAGATCAATTTTCAATATTTTTTGAGGAAATTTTTTTTTTGGTCTCTCGGTGCCAACTACATACCATATGGTATCTTCTTCGTTTTTAATTCGTTTTTGAAAACGTTTGCACAGTAGGGACGAGTTCATCATGATCTATTGGATTTACAAATTTCTGGGTGAACAAACTACAAGACCAAAAAATATCACACAATACCATACAATACCACCCTGGTACGGGTGGTATCTTATGGTATCTTATGGTATACAATGTTAAAAGTCGTAAATGACAATTAATATATTTCTACTATCATGTATTCAATCATCCTACAGTTTTGGTTTGTGTCAGACCACCATTGTACGCTTTTCAAACCATAGGTATGCTCTTATTTCAATACTAGTCAATACCATATGGTATAGATTAGTAAAAAATGGCTCAATTTTTTTTGTTCGAAAAATAAATCAAAGTGGACATCATTTTGAAGAGCACAATTAATCTGATCTAACTGTGCAAAAAAATTAAATTTCGACTTAAAACGAGTGAGAAATCGTCCGTCAAAGATTAAGGAGGGGAAAATTAAAGGGTTTGCAGGAGAGAGAGGATGCTGATGTCATGCTGATGTGGACGGGTTACTCATAGTTACTCACCATAAGGTTACTGACCTGATCCGTTCCCGAATGGACGAGAGGGAGGAACAGAAGTTTGAGCGGCGCTTAGGGTTACTAGGGAGCGGATCAGGTCAGTAACTCTATGGTCAGTAACCATGAGTAACCTGTCCACATAAGCATGACATCAGTAGCCTCTCTCTCCTGGAAAGTCTTTTATCCTTTCTCCTTTAATCTTTAACGGACGATTTCTCTCTCGTTTTAAGTCGAAATTTAATTTTTTTTGCACAGATTAATCAGATTAAATATGCTCTTCAAAATTATATTCACTTTGATATATTTTTATTACAAAAAAATTGAATAATTTTTACCAGTCATTACCATATGGTATGCTCCAATTTAATACCATATGGTAAAAAAGCGTACCATGATGGTATGAACATACCAATATGGTAAGAAGATTGAATACATGATAATAGGAGTATATTAACTGTCATTTACGACTTTCATCATTATTTACTACAAGTTACCACAAGTTACCAATCACATACCATAGTGGTAAGGTATGGTAATTTTTTATCCAGTATTTTTTTCACCCAGAAATTTATAGATCCAATAGATCATGATGAACTCGTTCCTTCTGAGCAAACGTTTTCAAAAACGACTTAAAAACGAAAAAGTTACCATATGGTATGTAGTTGGTAAAAAAAGTTTCTCAAAATATATTGAAACTTGATCTCATTTTGTAGAGCACAACGAACTCGTTCCATATGTGCAAAAAAAATTAAAATCCAATTAGAACGAAGACGATAAGAGCCAATTAAGAAAACTAGGGAAAATAAAATGTCTATAATTGACAAACAACCCTTAGATCTGAATTTTCTGGACCCACTTAAATCTAAAGGTTCAGATTTAGTTACTCATAGTTTAGTAACCATTGATTACTGACCCTATCCTAAGCCGGGTTACTAGGGGATTAGGGTTTCCCTTAGTTAGGCTCGATTTTATACCTCCGGCCTCCACCTAATGACTAATCTACCCCTTCTTTCACAAAAATTACGATCGATGACACCGCGCTCTTTTCCTTAAATGGACAAAAAAAGAACCTATTCGTGTTTACGAAACCACGACCTCCAGCTCTCACTCTGCCACTAGTCAACATACAAAACCACTGATCTACATCATATTCCTTGAATTTTTAAGTCCCTTGGCTTTTTTTGTTCCTTGTTCAATCTTAATACGTAATCAATTAAGGGTATTAGAAACCTCGATCTAGTTAGATAATAATTTTCCAAGAAATCTTCTAAATATCTTTTTCACTATGTCATTACCCATTTGTATACATATCATCAATCAATTGATTCTAGCTAACCAATAACTTTTCATTTATCAAGATGCACGTCACTAGACGTAAAATCTCATCGTGTACCAATAGTATACGAAATTTATTTTAACTCAATAGTCCAGTAGGTCTTTAAGTTAAATCACTAACAATTTAAACACCCAACCCTTTAAAACTTATCGATTTAAGTAGTACCAATTTTGGGCGTTGTGGGGTGTGAATACACTTCCCCACACGTAACCGTACTCCCGAACCCAAATCTCCAATATTCGCAGGTCAAATCCCGGTTTCGACCATTAGGTTGAGATCGGGTCAAATGGTGTTCGATCCACCATTAGTAAGGTCGATGGCGACTCCGAGCAATTCACGACGGATCCTCCAATCCCGATTTTGGAGAGGCGTTGCGACAGACCCATCGGAAGAATTTTTTTCATTTTTTTGAAAAAGGCTGAAAGACAGCATTAACAATTTGGATAATATATCCAAATTCATTCCTTATTGATTGAATTCATTGAACATGATTCCTATGGCTGCAATAAACAAAGTAAACAGTCCCAATACAAGAATCGTACCACATACTTGCGGGTTAACCGCACAAGGTTCGCAAGTTAGAGGTCACATGACATCATTTTTGTTTGTTTGTGAATTGCACCTCTTTTTCCATTTTCCCTTCGCCTAAGCTTACTTTTGGAAGTCTAGGGCTTGTTTGCTTGATGGATTTGGTGAATGATTTACGGGTCGTTTGCTTCAAGGTTTTATTGATGGATTTGGTGATGGACTTGCATTTATCATGGACTTTGACAAAAGTCTATTGTTTGCTTGATGGAATTGGAGGGAGTAAATTTGTGGGCCCCACAGAGTTTGGAGGTCCAAATTCATGAACCCCACGGACTTGGAAGTTCCACCTAAGGAGGTAGGAATTGGGTGATGGATTTAAATCCATGATGGCATTTTACTAGTTTATCCCTACTTATTTTGCCTAATGACTAATCTACCCTTCCTTCTTCCCCGGTGGTGGCCTCCAACTCTTTGTCCTCAGTTTTTCATACATAGCAATGAATGATAAATGGACTCTCATGTTTGTTTCTCCTTGTCTCTTTCTTTTTTTGGGCTTGTTTAATATTAATTTCTCGCATAAATTGTGAATTTCAGGATGAAATTTCGGATTAAGCGTGGTGCTCCAGTTTGATCAAAAAATCGGGACATTTTCAATTGTGGTTGAATTTCACATCTTCTTCTACTTAGTCTTCTATTTACTCCTATATTGATATTTCTAACACTTTAGGCTCATCTTGTGCATAATTGCTGAATCGACAGTTGGATCCAAAAATTAGGGAGTTCTGTCATGTTCAAACTATTATGCATTTCTATATTTGTAATTGAACGAGTTCACAAAGTCGAAGTTCAGTTACTTTGTATGCATTAGATTATGAGTTCACAAAGTAGAAGTTCAGTTACTTTGTATGCATTAGATTTGTTTTTAAGGGAAATATAATTACATAAGGGTAACAAGGTAATTTGTATTCCATATCCACAAATCTAATCAAATAAAATCCATTATCAAATCCAACAAGCAAACAATAGACTTGTTCAAATCCATGATGCCACCAAATCCATCATATGTCCATGGTTATTCAAAACCCTCATATTTAAAATCCACGAAGCAAACGACCCGTAAAGGCTTGTTTGGTTGATGGATTTGGATTCATAATGGACTTTTTTGGCTCTTGTTTGTGTTGTGTGAAGTGTGGGCATGAGGTGTATGACCCGAAGAAATCCTGTACCTTTAGCACCGCTAGACGACAACATCAATCGCACTCTTCGATTACTAGCTAGAGAGAGGGAGTTAAGGGAGTGAAGAGAAAGGCTCATGGTTCGGGGGGAACCTCACGTTGAATTCGAGGAGGAAGTTGAGTTTGAAGAAGAAGTTGTAATTCAAGAAAATCTTGTAATGAAGAATGTAGTTGCACAAGATGGGGATGAGGTTTGTAGTGCAGAGGAAGTGCGTGGTTTCTTTAGCTTGATTGATCATCAATAGCTATCAGGAAGTTGACTCTTCTCCTAGTTTGATTTTCACCTTCATCATCGTCCTCCTCACTACAGCTTCAAGTTGATGCCATTGCTTTCTCTCTTCTCTAGAGTAGGCAATTTGCCTTTATGTGCCCTTGTCTGTCGCATTTAAAACATTCATTTTGAATCTTATCAATTGTCTTATCTCCTTTCCTTTGTCTCTGAACTGATTTCGATGACCCTTGTCTTTCCTGGTTGTGCTTGGATTCCTTATCCTTTTGAAGGCTTACGAAATTTCCTCATCGTCGATCCCTTCTCATTTTCATAAGTTGAATAATATGCATGTTGAGCATAGCTAGTTCATCATCATCCATCTCCTCTTAATTATATGATTCTAGCTCTTCATTTGCGTGACTGCTGGAATTTACTCCAATCTTTTCTTTCTTTTGTTTTTCACTACTTTCGGTTTCCACTTCTTTGGTAAAGACCAAAGAATCTTTTGAACCAAGTCAACACTTTCATAAGAGACTCCAAGATTCTCCAGACAATTGATGATGTTTGTAAATCTCTAAGCAATTTGTTTAATTGTCTCGGTGCCGTCTATCTTGCAGGTCTCAAATTTAGTCTTAAGCGTATTTATTCGTGAAATTTTTACCTGAGACGTACCTTCATTGGTGACATGCCACCTTGCTCCCCTTGCCTTCCCCTCACCTTCCCCTACATCTTTCTTGGGTCTCCAGGTTTGATTTCGCGTCTTGCTTG